TTCAAGCCTTGCTACTAAAGCCAGGCTAACAACCATCTGGCTGCAGCTCCACACTGAATAATGAGCAGGAAAAAGTGGAAACAGTTGCTTAAACCTAACTCAAGCTAAATACTTTACAGCATTAATGGCATCAGTTTGTGAGGTCGTAGAGAAATCTAAGAATAAATGGCTAAAGATAACGGTTTAAAATCCACAGTATTTATGCTGCTAGTCTATCAGAGGATGAGGAGGATGCTCATTGTCCACAACTGTCCAGTTCGGAAACCATCCAGCAACAGTTTCAGCTCAAACCACCGTGAACTACGGGACAAAAAGCTAATGCTGCGTTTCGAACCACAACAAATACACCCCCCCACCCCCACCGGTTCTGGTAGCATTTCACAGGCTGCTGCTCCACACTCCGGTGCTGACCTCGCTCTGATCCGGTGTCAAACCCCTGCGGCTAAAACACCGGCTGGAGCTCAAGGAGGCAGCGTGGAGCTCAGGGAGGCAGCGTGGAGCTCAGGGAGGCAGCGTGGAGCTCAGGGAGGCAGCGTGGAGCTCAGGGAGGCAGCGTGGAGNAGCGTGGAGCTCAGGGAGGCAGCGTGGAGCTCAGGGAGGCAGCGTGGAGCTCAGGGAGGCAGCGTGGAGCTCAGGGAGGCAGCGTGGAGCTCAGGCGAGCAGCCGTAGTGATAAGAGAATTCCTCCGGTGACAAACGGTGGGTTGCTGCTGATGTGGGGTAATCCCATTCACAATCACAAGGCCCCCTCCACACACACACACACACACACACACACACACACACACACACACACACACACACACACACACACACACACACACACACACGATGCTTGTGTTTTGATGGAGGTTAGGTGAACAGGAGACTTGTGTGTTTGTGTGAAATGGGGGTGAAACTATAATCCCGCACACGACTGAGCGTATATAATCTGGGTCTCGGACTAACCTGCTTTCGTCTCTCCGAGCCCACACGTTCCCCCCATCTGTCCCTCCTCCCTGTTCTCCACTCTGCCTCTCCATCCCTCCCTGCCTTTTCTTCTCTCCATCCTCCTCCCTCCTTCCCCTCTCCTCCTCCGCATCCAGGCAACAACACAAACACTCCTCTTCCTCCCTTCAGTACCACCTCCCCGTCTCCCTCTCTCCTTTTTTTTCCCTCCTCCATCCCTCCGTTCTCGGCATACTTACATGTCACCTCCATGGTTTCGAGAGTCGTTTGATGCTCTCCACAATGGCTCTTGTCTTATCCTTGTGCTTTTGCCAGATGATGACTTCGTAGCTCTTGACGGGAGACGAAGGACGGTTGGAAAGACGAAGGGAGCAGACGGTTCCTCAGACGAGTGGTCTGGCTGCTCGTGGACGGTTAGCTTTAGCCACAATAAGCGAAAACCCGTCTGTCAACACGGCGCGGGCGCCACCTCCTCCTTGGCTTCGCTCTTCTTTTCCGTGTTGCTCCTGCAGTTGTCCAGCTCGTCTCACCAAATAAGCTTATTTCATCTCATCAAACCTCCTGTATCAAACTTTAACTCTCTCCTTCCTGCTATTACTATGTTTCTTGCCTCTCTGTTTGCCTTCCACCCTCTCCCTCTGTGACTCTAAGAGCATCAGCCAAGCTGCTCTGCTTCACTTATGTTGATCTCTGAGCTTATGCACTGATTGGACACACKCCACAACCAGAGACACCAATGGTGGTGCAGCACTGGATCACATGATAAACATAGGTGTGTGTGTGTGTGTGTCTGTCGTAGAGAAAGAGAGGTTCAGCTGTAGCGGGAGGGATGAGCGAAGATGAAGAAGGAGGAGGAGGAGGAGGAGAGGGGTACAGTGAGTGGCTGCAAGCCGCTACATAAGAGGGATTTTTTTTCAAGGTCCTGAACAGAGAGAGAGATGAAGTCTTTTCCCCCCATCTGCCTGTGAGGAAGAGGAGGGGGAGGATAAGAAGCTTGAAGCACAGACAGTTGGATGAAGAGCCAACAGGCAGCCTTACAAGACGACAGTCTCTGATGGATGCTTCCGCACACACAAACTGAAAACAAGTCGTGCGGAGAGCGCGGCTCCATTTYATCACAACACAACCAGAGCAGTGCAACACATGACGCAATTGGACAGGAGTTGCTATGGAAACGGGAAATGGCTGCTGACGGACAAAGCAGCGTCAGACTKGTCTCCGTTAAACACACCATGCAAACACACACCTTGTTTTATTATTACTAATAATACTAAACCAAGATAGCTTCAAGTGACTCATAAGCATCTCTTGAGTCTGTGTCCTAAAGATGCTTAAATTCATGAGAGAGCCTGATGCTAAATCAGCCACAGAGAGCCAGACACTAAGAGACCCATCAGCACTCGAGACATGCAGCCRATAAAACCTGAAGTGTTTTAGTATTCCTCATGTCAGCGGCAAATGTAGAAGCTGCAGGGGAGTCGAACGTATCGTAAAGTGGATGCCCTCCCAATCATCTTTCATCGCTCTTATCATCCACCCACATGAGGACACACCCTCTCTAAAGAGGCTTTAATGTTTGGACACCACATTTCTAATGGAAACAAATACACATTCAAGGTGAAGAGCAGGGGTGTAAGAAAATATCGATGCGATGATATATCGATTTTTCATTTCCTGATACTGTATCTATGTTTAAGGCTTAATGGACGAATGTTTAAGAAGAAATGTGAAATATAAAAGCAGTGTTCTTCTGAACTGAATTTAATCAGATTTATTTGATCTTTTGGGGAAAATAAGGCAATTGTCTTTCTTAAAGTATCATAATACATCGATGTATCGTGACCCGTGGGGTGATTTGCATCATCACTAAATTCTTGCCAACAGTCCTTGTGCAGACTGATGGTTTCAACCTTACCATGTGGAGACAGAGACAAACTTAGTCTTTTAAATAAATTAAATACTTTTAATTGACTACAGGCTAACCAGTAGAAAAAGAAAGGTCAGAAACTGTACAACTTAACTTTATGCAGTGAGAAGAACAAACAAATTGTATTATTACTCCTTATTCATGCATAATTGACCTACAACAGCACAGAAATCTGTTATTTACTTCATTAAATTCAAACTACTTCTCCGTTTTCTTACCTTAGTGAAATAAAATGCAAATTTCTCCAAATTATAAAGATGTGTCTTTTTTAGTAATAATTTAGAAATCTCAGAGGAGAAGAGCAAGAGTCTTTCAAGGGACAAAAAAAAAATAAAATAAAATAAAAGGCCCAAGGCCTTGCATTCACAATTAAATGTAATAATTTGGAACAAAGATGTTGCAATCAGTTAAAAATTAAATGACTGCATCAGCTATAAAAAGTGATTTTAATATGTTCACCACAATTACATTTGTATGCAAATTCTTTTTTTTTAAATTTATTTCTTACTCTGAAGACGAAGAAAAGCATCATGGATCTAAACTGGACTGAAAAAGATCAGATGTTAAGTCTACTGATTGATTTGAGATAGAAAAGATTTGCTGCTAAAGAACATTGAATTTGAATCAATTGTAATAATCAATGTTTATTAAAGCTGGCTGCACTGGTTTATGGTTAAATGAACTGAAAGTTTCTGTTTATTGAAGCAGCAATAAAACATAATATAGACTGAAAATGTCCAGATGTTCTGAGTAAAAGTGAAATACTCAGCAGAGGTATGTTATGTGTTTACAGATAGTTCTCCCTTTTTCTCAATATTTACAAACATTTATTAAAATAAAACACTAAAGTTTTAATTTTTGGCTTATTTCTCTTCACTAATTTGTCTCTTATGGGAGGAATGTTTTACTGTTGAATAAACTGAACCCAAGATTTAAACGAGTCTCTTCTAAATGAAAAAAGCCACTGCATTGAATTGATTGACTTTAAATTGAATAGAATTGGGCAGTGCATAAATGGAACTGACTTAAATAAATTTGCTTTATAGGACTTTTATTGTAAATTGGCGCCATATAAGTAAGATCGATGCAGCACAATGAACAGAGTGGCCTGTGTTTTGTCTGTTTGGTGTTCAACTCCATAAGTTGGTCATAATTTGTTTCACAAATCAGGGAAAAAGCCACGAAGCATCTGCTGCCTCATAGAACCGATGCTCGATTGACTACACAACGTACACAATCGCTCATAAACACCTCATTACGATCACCATCTGGCTGCGCACAAAGACACACTTCCTGTGTGAGCTGACTCAACACTAGCCAGCACAAAAGGAAGTTTGTCATCTTCATCCAAATTCCACTGAGCTCCGAACATAAAAGACTTTAATGGAGAAAGCTAATGTTTAATGGTAAAAAAAACAACGAAGGCAACAAAGTATTTTAAAATAAAAACCCTAAAGAGAAATAGACACATTTCTCTTTATTAAAACACAACMTGACTGTATAAATCATACTAATCTGGAACTTTTAAGTGCATCTATTGATTTGTATGAATAAAGGTTTTAAGATGAGATATTTTCAGATATAATTCTGTGTGAAAGATTATCCAGAGGGCCCATAAAACAATGATGCAGCAATTCTTAGCACAACATTTAACCTAAAACACAATGTTAAAAAAATAACTAAACA